TCATGACCTGCCAACTTATGTTGGCTCAAGACTTGATCTTGCCTGCGGCATAAAGGACTTGTGTTGATGCAGCTTAGGAACACTTAGGTGTGCCTTGTGTGTATCTACGTGGAAGACCTCAGTTACTTTTTCAGTCATGTATATGCATGTATGCATGTTTGTACATATTCATACATATGCAATGATAAATCGACCGAATTTTGAGGACGCTCCGCACGGGAGCGCAATTTTCTTCAAAACTTGAGCGAAGAAGACGAGCTTGAGCGGAGCAGTTTGATATAGAATTGATATAGGATCCATCCAGTAGCCGCTCAGATTTTGAACGACCATGCCCGGCGAATCCTATACCAATCCTACATCGGAAACCTCCGCCAAATCCCTCCTCTTGAGCCCAGAAACCCACCTCGAACAAAGTACAGGGGGACTGATTTGGGAATATTTGGTATAGAATTGATATACAACTCCTCGACATCATCGTTCATAAATGATCCAAATTTTCCAAATGCTCCAAACGGGAGCGTCATTTTGATCGAATTCGATGAAGATAAATCGACGAAATTTCGGCTCCGCACGGTTGCGCGATTTTTGAAGATAGGAAGATGATCACAAACGCAAAAAATCGAATTGTCTCGCGCGGGAGCGCAATTTCTGATGAATCATTGAGCAAGAAAAGCCCGAAATTTTGAGGATGTCTCGCAGGGGAGCGCAATATGGCGCAATTTTGCTGCAAACAGGGGCGCGACCAGTTCGGTTACGAACCCCTCCAGCAAGACTACTTTAAAGGCGAAGTCTCCTATTTTATTGATCGAAAACCAACATAGAACGCCGATTTTTTGGAGGATGTCTGGAGCGAGAGCGCGATTTTGCAGCGAACAAGGGCGCGTCCCAAATGTTTGCGCGACGGAAGAGTATCCACGACATGGCTGGCGACAGTGCATCTAAACAACTAAAACCCCACAGCAATGTGGGGGAAAAAGACCCCGAAAAATCCAAACCCTAAAAACCTTCAACCCTAACAACCCCAAACCCTGGAAAAAAAAAATCAAAACCCCAACCTGAACCGCAAAAACCTCAAACCCTAAGAACCATAATCCCTAAAAACCCTAAGAAGCCCAAACCCCAAGAACCCTAAAACCTCGCACTTCATTTTAGAACGACACAGGCTGCTTGAGAGATTGTTGTTAAACTGACGGAGCAAAATGTTACATGTCGTCATTTCTTGTACATGCGTTTGCAAACGGGAGTGGGATTGCGCCCCCCCCCCCCCACACACCCTAAGGTCTGAAAATCCCCTTGACCCCTAAACACGCAAAACAAACTAAACCCCAACAGGCCCTAAAACCTTAAACTTAACGACCCCTAACCCTGAAAACCCTTACACTTAAAAATTAAAGCTCCAACCCAGACCCCTAAAGCCCTAAACCTTAAAAACATCCTGATTAACTCAGCTGGACCTCAACAGCAAGGCGAGCGGGTTCTTTGGGGGGCAATTGCAAAATTTGCACAAGCTCGGGGAAGGGTTCATGAGAGCCCCTGTGGACCCTTCAACCTAAAGTGGGCTTTTTTGAGGGTTCCAAGAGTGGGAATCGGGTATTTTTGGCGGGCAGGTTCTGGGGAGCTTTGGTAGGGGTTTTAGGGGTCTCTCCCAAACCTCGGTAGATAGGGGGCTTAAGGCCCCACTCACGTAAATCTTTGAACGGGTTTTCAAAGTGGGAGCTGTTTGTTGGTGGCAGCCCATAGAGAGCTTTGGTAGGGGCCTTAGCCTTAGCAACCTCTCCCAAGTCTTTGGGGGTAGGGCGCTGAGGAGCCCGGGACTAACAACGATTCTGCGCCACCTGCCGAACCTCAGGATGCTCTGGGGTCGGTGACACTGGCGGCCGTAAGTCGGGCACCCTCGAATTGCTGCCCACAGGCTTGGCCCTGGCTTCGCCAAGAGCCAAACATAGTCAAACGCTAGTGCCGCCGACCCTGCGTCACGTTTCTTCAAGGGGCCCTCCCGGACTCTCCGAAATTTGCATGCAGTTTTGAAGCGAATCCACCCGCTACGGAGAAATGTTGAAGGAGTTTTGGGGTCCCCGCGGGATCACCCGAAGGAAAAAAAAAATCATGAGCACGGACGTTTTTGAAAACTAGCCCGAGGCCCATTCAAGGGTGGCTTCAAGGCTTGAGGGGGTGCCGGAAGATCTCAGATTGGATAGACGGACGCACAATGATGCTGATGAGGCTGGCCCCTCCCGCCAGCATCATCAGCATCATTGGGGGCTCGTTTCTCCATGAAGGGGTGCCGGGGGGGTCCACAACTCTCCCGCCCCCGGGCGCTGTACCTTAAATAAAGTTTTCCATGGGTGTGTCATAGCGTGTCTACTACCACTTCCCAAGAAGTCCCGGATACTGGACTGCATGTTCGAAGCAGACCATATGCGCTCATTTCAGACAAAGTTCGCAGAGACATGTGTGGTTGGCGGTCTCCAGACCAAGAATAAATAAACATCTGTCATACTACTTCTATGAGAAGTACAATAACAATGATCCTAGACAACCCTACACAAAATCTGCAGCGCTGCTCTGCAGAACATGCGGCCGTCATTGTGGTTCGATGTCCTTGTGCTGCTGCGATAAGCCCAACATATCCAGTTCCAGAACCAAGCTCGACGACCCTCTGGCCAAGAGTAATCCTGAGTGCTTGCTCTCCCAATGATTGCCATGTGGCTGCTCGAGGTACATGAAACCCACATAGTCAGGCAAGCTGCTTCGCAAAACCCTGGCGCCAGCACTAGCTCTTCCAAGACTCTGCTGCCGCGCCAGCATCTCTCCCAAGCAAAGTGCTGAGTCCCAAATGGATGCGCCAGACTCATCTTGCAAGTCGCAGGAAGCCACTTCAAGAACCTGCGTATTAGGGCTTGTTCGCCGCCAGAGGTTTAGCCTAGTGCCTCACAGGGCTCCTGTTGTCTCCCGTTGATTTGGCTCCCTTTGATTTGACTGGGTTTAACTTGCTCAGGCTTGGATTGCCCAGGACTCTTCTTTAATCCCAGATGTATAACCCAATAGCAAACTGCAGGAAGTTCGACCTTGTCGAGGCTACCGAGCATTAATAGATGTGGTGTAGGATTCGTAAACGAGATTTGAGGATGGCCCTGCGCGTATCTATATAGTACTACTGTTCCACTGCAACTTTTGTTTCCATTCCGCGGTGTCCTCCGTTCAGCGTGGATCGTTGAGTGCCGTTCCACTTTTTTGCAGAAACTCAAAGCTAGAGCCGTTGCAAACAAGCGATGGTACGTGATGGTAATGTAATGAGCTTTGGCCCCTTCAGGGAGCACCGCCTTGTTCTGTCCCAGTGCTCATGCCCAAGCAGGGGTTGAAAGTTGTCTGACCCATGGTTAAAAGTCCGACGCTCATTCTGAAATCTGGCTCTGTTTCGTTTTATATACTCGGCACCATCTTGGAGTGGACCATCTCGTTCGCCGTGGTAACATTACAGGAGCCATATGCAGGACGGGCTCCCTTTCCCTGATGCACCAAACCAAAAAATTGGGGATCAAGAATGCAGTGGTATTGCTTCTGCGCTAGCCCCTAGTACACAGACGCAGGATGACGCAGGCATAGCATGTGCCCTTGGATGGCCGAAAATGCCATGGGAGCTGTGGGAGAAGGGCACGTGGGGTAAGTTGAGCACTCGCTTGCCGTGCATGTTCGAACGCACCGTGGTGCATCAACTGATAGGTACTTCAGTTGAGCCTCGATCTCGTTTTTGAGCGAGTCGGCATTGAAACATCAGAATAATTATGGCAGCTGAAGCTACCGCATGCAACATTCAGTCTCAGAGCCTGCGTCCCGCCGGCTGTAGGAACAGCAACCGCGCGCATTGCAGGATTCAGCAGCCGAGCTGGGCATCACAAGGCTTTAGCGAACTGCTGGATTTGCCGTCTGTAGTGGGTGGGGGACCTGGGGATGGGGAGGATCACAGAAGTAGCTCAGACTTGTTTACGTAAGGCACGGGTGAATAGCTGCATCAAACGCATCTTGACAGGCCTTGCCAGCTTTACTGAAACAGGCCTGGAACAACACAAGAAACAGGATAGAAGGACAGTTAACGACTCCCCAAGAGACCTACTGCTAAAATGATGGCATCTGCTGGATACTATGAGTATTGATTTGAGCTGCAACATCTGCGCATGAAAGAGTGGGCAGGAGCATACACTTAACTTCCTCATTCGAGCCCTGCAATCCTCTTGCCGGCCTCGCTTGTCGGGAACTCCTGCAAAGCAAACAAGAGAGGAAGTGAGCAGTAGAGTCTCAGTAAAGACCCTGAGTGGCCGAAATCTGGCTGTACCATATATTCTGGCCACCTGTCGCTGCTCAAAGCTGTTGCCGTTGTGGCCGAAGAGTATCAACTTCTTTCGGGTTGCCACGCAAACCTCTGGCTGCTTCTCAGTCAGCAGCCGCTGCCTCTGAAAAGTGACTCACACCGAGCCTCTGAAGGGCTCACAGCTTCTTCGCCCAAGCCAGTATGCAAACAGATGTGCTTCACCTGCGCTCAGCTACAAAACCAATGAAATACAACGAGGACGCAAGACGTTAATGCATCCACGGGCGCATCTTTGCAGAGCTCCACCTGATTTCACTGCAGGAAGACGAACCACCGAGGTTTTTGGTTGCTGCTGAATGCTACTGTGTTTACGTGCAGAAGCTCAGTCCAGCTCAGGCTTTCCAGACCACACGTCTGCAGGCAGTACATAGAGAACTCCGTCAGATAGTGCAAAGACAAATTGGGATGTAGCGCAAACCTGGAAGCACGGCATGGTCTGCATAGCAGACGCTAAATTCGTTCATTCTTCTCATGCTTGTCCCTCAGCGAAAGAGGTCAACATCCCCAGCCTGCTCAACAGGCCTCTTTGCAGCTAGTGCAACTGCACCTGCCGAGGATGCTGGAAGCGCGGCTTGGTCCTCGCAAGCTGTGTCTGATTTAGATGTCGCAGCTCCAGCGAAGTCTGTCCTCTGACGTCCTTGCTAGAGGGAAACTAAACCTGCAACTAGCATCAGCATCGTCAGATGTGTGTGCGAGGCTCCAATAAGACCAGAGCTGAAGAATGTTCCCAACTGCGGTGCCAATGTAAACTGATTCACCTCCAACCCACAGATGGCCGGCAAGCCCAAACGTGCCAGATTAGTCGGCCAAAGCCTCCATAGGAAATACTTTCAATCTTCTCCTGCACATTGAGAATAGTCGCCTAGCAAGCAAAGCAAATTTGCACCAACAAGGCACTGCCACTCCAGTTGTTGAGCTTCTCACTGCCCTGAAGGGATCCATTCCACGCTTCATCTTGCTCGTTCATGTGGCTGTCTGTAAACGTTGCGGATCACTGCAAGAATCAGGATCCTGAAGTAAACTGCTATGAAGGAGACAGCCCTCAATTGGCTTCCACGCGTTTCTTCCGGGGGCTGCTTCTGAAGATGCAGGGTCCCTTTATGTCCTTGTTTGCTTGAGTTGGCTTCGGGCATTCAACAAGATCTGGACCCCCTTTACGTGAAAGCAATGTTGGCAGATCTTATTTTGGAGTTCAGGCTTAGAAACTGCAGTGCTGTAGCATGCTGTAGCCTTTCAACAACAGCGGCTTGTTTAAACTCAGGCCTGCACAAAACTTTAGAGCAGGGCATCTGCTGCGGCTACATGTTCACTATGCCACATGCTCATTACGACGCTGTGAACCATTAACCAGGGGCTTTGCTCCATGAAGCTCAGCCCTACCCTGTCCAGAGCTGTCATCATGTTGCCAAACCCTGTGACAGAGAATGTCATTCGCGTTGGGACTGCAGATTTCGTGTCATGTCGAAACAGCTAGCCTTTGCTTCCGGCCCAGGGTTTTTTGGCCGATGCTACTGTAAGAACTGATGCTAGTGAGAGAGACAAAGCGGCAACAGTCGGAGCACTTACAGCCGAGCCGCATACGCAAGCAAATCACCACAAAGACCACAAAGACCACAATGTTTCAACCGTCGCCGATTGTGCTCGCATGTGCTCGCATCTTGTGGCAAGCTCTGACTCACTATGTCGAGCGTCTCAAGTGGTTCGGGAGTATGGCAATGTCCAGCCTTGGTCATGGCCAGAACTTTTTTCGTCGAAACTCGGGTGACCCGTTAAGAACCATGCCGGTATGGAGGCTGCAAATATTCCAGTTGATGCCTGGCTGTGTGACATGTTTCATGCATACTAAGCTTGCAACATCCCAACTTAAAAGTTATCTAATGTGCCAGGGCTCTCGACATCCAAGAGCCGTAGCACAGCAACAACCTTCGGACAATCTAATTTCAATCTACGTCTTGGGCACTTTCATAGCGAAAGCCATGTTTCACACCATCAGGCATTGGTGGCAATCCGTGCCTCCAAGTGGAAACTGCTTGGTGATGGTTCCCAAGCATCTGCACGAAAGCCTCAGACCATGTCAAGATATGGGGCTGGCTACACGACGCAGTTTCAGCAGGGGACCGGAACGGTCTAGGCGCGTTTGAAGTTTGCGGAAAGTCTCCTGGTACAAACATGCTCTGATGTATACACAGGTGAGTGCAGATGAGGCAGGCGAGTGCAAAGCAAGGATGCAGCCTGCAACAGTCGCAAGTGCGACAGCACCCAGGCACTCCTGGCCAGAAGGGACAGGAAAGACAAAACGAAGAGAAGACCATGTGGGTTCTATGCCTCCTGGGCAGGCCAAAGGCGGCACAGAGCCCAGTCACAATGACCCGACGCTGGATCATAGCAACCTCCATGCTTCTTACCAACGTTCAAAAACCTCTAATCGCCATGCTGCTTTGCAGTCTGGCGAAAATCGCATTCATGCTGTTCACTTAGACCAAAATCGCATAGCCCCTGATGTACAAGCAATTTGCGGACCACTCCTGCAGACTTAGAAATTAGAACAAGTGCATGTCTAGGTGACGGGTCTTGAAACGGAGGCAATTGTCAAGGAGCAGCCTGTGCACAGGACTGCTGTGCGATCCACGGCGGGGTCGGGAGCAAGAGCAAGACATCATGCGCGTCCCGAAAACGCACGTGACCGTGGCAACAGCACAATTTGCACCGGGCAACAATGCAAAAACCTGGCTTTCTTGTGACAATGGTGACCTTCCAAAGATATGGCATGGCACGGCGGTCCGGCTATCCTGCACTGTAGCAGTCTGCACTTGAGCAAAACTGTACACATCACACCACTCAGCAAGACAGAAGGACTGTAAAGACGGAGGCAATCGAAGGGCTGTACCTTAAAAATCCCACAACACGCCCCAAGCGCATCCAAACATGGCCGGAGTATGATTTGCTGCATGCAATGGCGAAGATGGTTGCCAATCCGGCTGAGTAGCTCTGGACTCCATACGCCCACCGTTCAAATGTGCACAGATGCAGGGTGATCTCGTAATTTAGCACTCAAGTAAGAGCACCGTGGTGCAGGCACTACTTGGCAAAAAGCAATGTTATCCCCTCTCCGCTAGTCACGGTTTTCCACAACCATGTTCTGCTGTGCTTGGTGTTTGAAGCTTAAGATATTTATCCACATCCGACGCGTTCATGACAACGGCTGTTCTCACGCTATCCTGAAAACCAGCCACGTTACCGCTTTTCCTAAACTTCGCAAGTCCACGCGAGAACCTTCCCTGGTACAGTAGGCATCCAGCTTAAACTTCACAGTTTCCTGTCTCAAGTGAGTCTCCAGGCCGTTCCACAACCGTTGCCAAGCTGGTTGAGAGTGAAGCAGAAAATGTCTCATACCTCATGCCGGAATATGTCTTTGCTCCACTTGGAAGACACAGGAATACACAGCCATGGCAAATGAACTTGTGCAGAGGTGGAAGTGTGCGGTGGGTAGCGGTCCTAACACTGACCCATTGACAACAACCATGTGTTGATGCAAGGCATTTCAACTCTTCATTCGAATCCGCACAGACGCCTTGGCGTGGCAACAGCTGCTCGGTTGGTCTTTGACGCCAAGAAAAACCACAAAATACAGAAATGCTGTAATCTCAGCATCTGCCCCAGACCCAAACGCACACGGAGACACTCTGTCCGTGATTTCGCTGCCACATAGACCTGCGCCCCGCCTGTCGTTGTCGCCAAGAGCTACCTGCCTGTCGAAAGTCTCTCAGAAATCAGCGAAAAAAATGTTGGAACAAGCCTGACTGATGGTGCTAAAGTTCTCCAACAGGTGTGGCAAGAGCAACCTCAGTCTAGAAAACTAGGGCCAAATCCTCGGCATTACCGATTACGTCTGGTACCTTGCTCCTGCGGTGTTCTGCATGTAAACCTGAGATGCTTGAGCGGAATGCGCTCTTGCAAGTCAAAACAGAAGCATGGAGAGTGATCCCTTCAGGCATAGCTGCTGCTGCGAGCGCAAGACCCATTCCCAAATCACCACCTCGGACCTTTGCAAGCTGTGAGCATTATGCCAGAGAGCAATTGCATTAGGCAGCTCACTCGATCCCAAGAAACCGGCTGACCTTTGCAGTTCCTTAGATGCACCTCTCTCTGGTCTCCACTAGTGACTCTAGCTGGTGATTTACACACGGCCAAATCACCTGTCTTCCTGAGACACCCCTCCTCTCCAACATTGCCAGCGCCACCCTCATTATGTCAGAACATCACAGTGGTAGCCAGACTGACATATATGTTGAATTTTGATGTGTAAATACCTTCCAGACGCGCAAAGCACAGAGATGACCAGGCATCCATTTTCAGCCATGCGTCCAGAGGACTTTGCGCAAGAATACGGCAGCATGGCAGAGCTTGAAAACATCTCCTGATATTGAGTCACAGATCAAAGTGACACTGCCAAATCTGCCACTTGTGTCTCAGCCTCAGGCCAATCAAGCAACGCAGCAGCTGTTATTGCCGCACTCAGCGAGGGCCCGTCCAAATGTGCCACTCGCGCAGTTTCCTTCACGGGACAGATAATTTCTGGCAGCCCTTCCCCTACCTGCATCCTCCTTCCAAGGCATCTACCTTCAACGTCTGCCGCTATTGCTAGATCCAACTTAGGTTTTTTCAATGCTGTCGCAGATTCTAGCATCTATCTGAATCTGATCGTTGCTGTCTTGTCCCAGGTTGTTTTAAGCAAACGGGGCTAGAATCTTTCCAGATGCAAACCTTCTCGCTTCTCATTCGCAAGTGGTTCAACATTCCTTTGCCCGCTTTCACGGACATCATGAAAACCTCGTTTTCATGGCTGACCAATCCCATCACGCTTTTCTAACGTTTCGTGTGTGAGGTTGAGGTCTCTGGGAGGAAGGATTCACTTGGGTCTATCTATTCAGCACTGCCTCAAGCTTCATCCACGAGATGAGGGCTCAAGTGCAGTACTTTCACGGCAAGCTTTACAGTCTAGAATATGTAGTTGGGGCGCACTTGCGATAGCGAGAGTTCAACCGTGCAGGTAGTGGAGACAAGTTTTGTTGGCCAGCATGCGCGCATCCTTCGTGCGCTATGCACAGCTTTCGCACGCGACAGCATTGCAACTTAGAAGTCGGAGGATCGCAGCTTTGAAATGAGGCTGAACGTTACGAGTGAAGCCCTAGTTTGTGTTCTTGAAGCTTGCATTGTAGCAACTGCGACATGGTTGTCAATCTGTCTTGTAGAAGGTGTTGCGAGCCACAGGACCATGTTTACTACTCCCCCTAATTGTTCTACAAAGTGAGCCGTGGCCAAAACCCTTCGAACCTTCTCTTCTCGTCCCAATCACTATTACGGAACCATACGGTTTACTGATGCGGTCCCAGCGCCAGCACATCGCGAGCTCTTGCTGTTCTTTTGCACTGACGCGAGCTATCGCGAATGAGATATGAATGAAAACCGCAGGTTTTTACTGACGCGCGCAGTTTTTTCTGACGCGCGCGCCTTGCCAGCTTTGCGCAGAGGCTTCTCACCAAGCCGAGATCGCGAGCTATCGCGGACAATGTGCATGCAAAATGCTCGCGAGCACTGACGCACGCACCAGTTTTTGCAACATCTAGCCCCTCTTGCAGAACTCCTTCATAGGGGTTTTGGACGCCGCTCAAGTGTCTGTACAGCGTGTTCTGTATTGCTTGCCGATGAGGGTCCCGAGAGATAGACACTTTGCTCAACTTGCCTCTGCTCCAACTGACCACTAGTGTTTCTTTTGACCCCTGTGTCGAAGCGAGACCCTAGATACAGCATGCACTCTTTGTGTGATGGACTCACTGCAAATGCATGAGCTGCATGCACATGGAGTCAAAACCCTTTCTAGCAACACGGCTTGCTTAGCGGCCTGCGTTGCCAACGCTATGTTAAACTGCTGGGCCTTTCGCGAACCCTTTTGCGCACGTTTCGTGCTCCTTGCGCGCGCTCATCTTGTTCGTGTTAATAGCTCGTTGATTGCAGTCCATACTACCAGAGACCCCTACGTCCACCCTTAGTGGTGTAAGCCTAATATTGACAGTAGCTCGTATAGCTTTTTGCTAGAAGTTTTTGAACGACACGACGTTGTCCTCGCGGTCTAGCAGTAAATCCGACGGATAGCGCCACAGATACTACATAACGCTTTTGCAGTGCAGCTGCCGACACTGCAATTGTAGCATCAACACTCAGTACAACTTGTCTGCGAAGAACAATCGCAAGCACTGCAGGATGCTCCTGCTAGCCAGAAGGAAATTACAAAACGCTCACTTCAGCCAGATGTTCAAGATGTAGTCTGGCACAAGCTTAGGTAATGCCCCCAGGACCAAAGCATTCCGAATCGAATTTCGCATATGGAAAAAACAAGGACCAGGATGGCAACTTCTGGCTCTTGGTATCTTAGCTCCGGACACAGACTAGTCAAGCTTTCTGCGTGCCCTGAAGCAGTCCTCAAAGAGCGGGAAGGCCTTCTCACACAGTTCCTGTGAGCAAGAAGCAACATGTTCACGGCTTGGCGACCTGCCTTCGAAGATGTCGTGAAAAGTCTTGCTCAGCACTCTCCCCACTAAGTGGCACAAGCAGTCACACATCCCTACCTCATCCAGGAAACGGATCTTCGCACAGGCAAAGAGGAAATTTGCAAGCTGAGAGAGTGGAAACTGATCCAGACCCCTGGTCACTCTCGCAGACAGCGCGCCAAAAAACTCGTCGTCCTCGAGGTCATTGTCCGCATAGCACCGCGAAATGGTTGCAATCTGCTGCGGACTGTATTTGTCTGCTGTGTCCTGTATTTGCTTTGCCATCATGAACAGCCAGAACTCATCCATCGGCAACGCCTGTGAAGTGAGCGCTGCCACAAAGCAAGTCGTCTGTTCGGCCGTAAGCTCCGGAATTCGGGCACAAACAAAGTTGGTAAACAACTGCACGATCCGATTGCCAAGTGGAAGCTCGCCCTCATCCTCCCGGCTTCTACCCATTCGCTTGACAAACGGCGCTTTCCGGTACTCATCGAAAATCCACGCAACTTGAGCTAGACTGAAGGCCTCTTGCTCCTGAAGCAGTCGCACGGAATCCCAGTGCCTGTTGAGGCTGGTCGGCATCCCATCCTCCGTGAGTAGTCGTAAAAGCTGTTCTGGCGAGGGCAAGGCAGCTTCAGTTGGCAGCACAGGGCTAACCTCGCTGGCAGTGACCTGGCTGCGAAAAACATTTTCCTTACCTGGGTGAATTTGTGTATCTAGCCGTGAAGGTGGTGGGGGGGCCGAAGCATCTGCACTTCCCACTGGAGACTGTTGAGCCGCATGAAACGCAAGCGGCGGAGCAGGCACAGGCGGCGGAGGTGGCCGGCGAGGCAACAGCTGCTGGACATGCCGGCGCTGCAAAGCTGAATCAATAGCGGATAGCACGTGGCGCAGCTCGCCAGTCCATCGCGCCATGCAGGTAAGACCACGCAAGCATCCAAAAGGTTTCTGCTTAATTTGCTAGCCACTGCTGGTGTGCTTAGCGAGTTGCCAGGGAACTGGGCAAAAAATGGTCATGCTACCATATATACTGCGCGATTTCCTCGCATGCAAGCACAGGTCGTTGTCTCAGCTACAGGAGTAAGGACAAACAAGTACAGTCAGTTGTTTGCCCTAGTGCCACAACCCGGGAATCAGCTATTTGTACGTAGGCCTTGTGGAAGCTTCGGACCTCTTTCTAGGTACAGACTTTCAGTGCAGTTTCGACAGAGCCCCCCAAAAAAGCTATAGCGGCCAATCCTGAATACCAAGAAGCCCTCGCTAGATGTGGCATGCTGGCAGCCTGGTGTATTCTCGTATCAGCTTTACGTGCAGCGTGTTGTCAAGCATGCTCTGCAGGGTGAAATAAGAAATTGATAATTGATAAGCATCAAAAAACTGCCGACATCAGGAACACATTGGTAAGCACCACAAAAGCAGAACTGTCCTCACTTTCGAGGCCTCGTATCTGCAAAGTGGAGAACTGTGTTCGCTTTTGGAGCCTTGTGCGGACCACACTTTTGGACCGTCATATCTGCAAAGTGCAGAACTCTTCTCGCTTTTGGAGCTTCGTGGTGGTGCAGAACTGTCATCGCTCTTGGCTTTTGGGGCATTATAACTGTAGTGTGCAAAAATGTCGTCGCTTTTGAAGCCTCGGGGTGGCAAGGTGCGCGAGAGCATCTTTAAAAAACTCGAGGGCGGCATTCATGGCTTTAAAAAATGCGTTGGGATTTGGGGGGCGCAGCCCCCCTATTCGCAAAGAAAATAATCTGCACAACCTGCCCTGTACTGTAAGCATGGTGATGACATCATGCTTATATCTTATTACAAGCATGGATGGTTTTCAAACAGTGGGGAGTTGTGGGGGTCGCAGCCCACCCCCCACTTGGAAACGAAATCATCTGCACAACCTTCCCTTACTGCAAACATGCTGATGACATCATGCTTCTTTTTTGTTGCTAGCATGGGTGGCCTCAAAACAGGGGGGTTGGGAAGGCGCAGCCCCCCCTTCACCCCGCGTTTGCACACAAAAGGATCCGCATAACCCTCTCTTGGTGCAAACAGTGGATATGTATATTCCCTGATAGAGGCTCCCCCAGGTTTACGGCTCCTCCCCAGCCCTTGTTGGGCCTCTTGGTTCTACACCCCTCTGGCCCCCAACGTGGCATGTACAACCAACTTCTTACTTACTCTGCTTCTTGCTTTCCGTGCTACTTTTTTGCTTGTCTCTCTCCAAGCGGACAGTTGCGAGGGTCGTGACCCCGACACCCACCATCCCTGTAACTGTTGACACTGTTCAAAATCCAAGAAGATCCGAGGTTCTCAAAGCAACTATCGCCGGTTTGAGGTTGGGGGTTACAGCCCCGGGCTAGTAGAGAATGCAATGAATGGGTTTAGGGTTTAGGGAGTAGAACTAGGGAGCAAATGATAAGAACTAGGGCCGACGCCTCCCAATTGCTTGAATCCTGCCGTCAATCTTTGGCAGCAGAAGAGCTGCCAGGACTACTGGGGATGGAGGCAATGTTGCACCATCTTGTTAATATCTTGGGCACTACAACATTCTGAGATATACTGAGCTTTCTGGATGATGCAAGATTTCGGACCATAGCACCAGAGAACCACAGGATCACAGGACCAGAGGACCACAGGACCTGTGGATCAGAGGACCACAGGCCCAGAGGACCACACGACCAGAGGACCGCAGGCCCAAAGGACCACACGACCAGAGCACCAGAGGACCACAGGCCCAGAGGACCACAGGACCGAAGTACCGGAACTGGATAGGACCTAGGAACAGTTTACACTTGATTTCGCAGCTTGTTTATCAAAATTGTCGTTGATGCTTTGTTTGATGCTTAACAATTCTTGTTTGATGCTTATCGCTTTTTGTTTGCCTGTGCCCCCCCCACCTGTGCAGCGGTTTCGTTCTTTGACAAAGTGTGGAGAAGATACCAAGCCTGAGGAATCATGGTGCGCAAGCTTGCTTCGCAGAATTGATGCAGAAGAGCCTTTTTCAAATGGACATCAGCTCCGTGAGTCGAGCTCTTGATGGCTGCGACTTCTTCCTGGCACATGAATTGCAGGAACAATGGCTCAAGCTTGGACTATACATTCTCCAACAAGCCCTAGTCAATGGCCGAACCCCAGTTAGCCTGAACGTCCAGGTTCAAATCCTCACAATCCCTCCCACAACGCTTTTGTGCACCAACTTGTCCAACTGCCAGCCCATCATTACATGAATAGCTGCAGCACGTCATCTTCTATCTTGGCGTTCGGAAAGCAACGAAAAGGCATGACGCAGCCGTAGCCCAAAAGGCAGCATGACAAAAAGGGGGTTGACCGGGTGAGCCCCTCAGGAAAGGGTCCACGACTCGTGGCCACCTCCCCGAATCTTTGCGTGGAACATCGTACAGTTTGCACTGCTTTAGAATGCTTCTCATCCCGAGAGCCTTTGCCCCCCCTTCTCCCTCCACTCTTCCTTCTTTCCAGGTTTCCGCCCTCTACGTTTGCTCAATACTACACAAAGGTTGCCGCTTGTGTGAGGGGGTTGAGCAACTAAGTTTGGACTTGGGATTCCTGCCGAACAGACTGCTACTGCCCAAGCATCCGGATTCGCTGCTTGCCTTCGCGCTCGGACTGCAGGTACTTGTTGCCAGTCGGAACTTTGCTCAATCTTGCACGCTGGCGTTTGCGACGTGGAATGCGGGCCAAAATCCAAAAGTCAAAGGCTGAAACTATGGGCCTCTAGTATGGGCTCTTAACCCTAGAATCCTGATGCGCCCTATAAACATGTACCCTTCAGGGTCAACTAGAATCCACTAAAAGGCCTAAGAGCCCATGTTGGGGGCCCATACTTCTTAGCTTAGACAAAGACGACACTTGAGTGGTGACTCGCAGATCTGCAGACCCGTTTCAGAACGCAAAAAGATTATTCATGACGATGGGGAGTCCACGTCAAGACCCCGGGCCCAAGCACTGCTGCTTGGGTCAGCAGCCTGGATCCAAAACCTTCAACTCATGGTTCCTGAGAACCCAGGTCGCTGAACATCAGATCACAGGAAGTTACAAATTTTCGCGGAAGGGTGTATTCGGCATTCGGTAAGGATGCCAGGGACTCCGCTTCCATTCTTGGAAGGACATAATGGAGTCGTCCACGTCCTCTTCGGCCTGCGCGGAAGTCGCGGTTGAATGCATGCTCTGACGGTCAAAGCTCCTCGTAATCAGAGCTGCAGATTGCTGACCTGCGCGTTCAGTGCAGGCACGTCGCGCCCCACGACAGCAGGGATGCCGGCCACCAGTGATTCTCTAACCTGCACGGATGTCAACGCGGAGTCACATGAGCACGCAGAAGCGTGGACTACATGCTGGATGAGCATGTCACTCATGGCACCTGCACTTCATCACTGTCATTGGCCTTGGCCTCAGGCATGCATGGGATCACCAGTGGCAATAGAGCACCAGCACCATTTCGCGCCTGCAAGAAGCTGTCTGCTGTCCATAGCGCAAAGACGTTGAGTATGAGCGGCATGAGAACCTGCCAGCCAGCGTCTGATTTGGAGAGCTCTGACATCTTCATCTTTTTTGAATGAGGCTGGCGGACCATAACAACCACAAGCTTCGCCCGCGGGAAATCATCCAACCACCTGGGCCATCTATTTTTGAACGCTGCATGGGCCCATGAAAGCCAACAAGGAGCTTGATGGCACTTACTTTTGAGAAAGCATGATGATGCAGGCAGGACCAAAAAGAGAGCCGTGTGAGCTTCATAAGGCCACGACCCAAGTAAAGCGGTGCTCGTGAGGGCCATACTTCTGCGGAAGTTGATCACGAGCCTTTCTTAACTTACACAACGAAGACCTACAGTCAAAGTTCCCTGACAGCTCGAACTGACCAGGCTTGCATTCAAGAGCCGTGCTAAACCCAAGAAGTCGAGCCAGGCGGACCCCGCCAACATGAGTTTCTGTACAAACACGAGCGCCTTTCACTCAACCAACATGCGTTCCTCCTACACTCAGAATCTCTTCATTCCAAAATCTGCTGGGTAGGCCTGCCAGTCCAGCAGCTGGCGGAGAAAAATCTTAAAGTCCGGTGGATCGCCATAGTGACCGCACCTGGGAAAATCTTTGCTGGACCATTCTTGCTGCATTGGGATTTCTTTGCGCTAGTAAAAAGCAACCTTCCCCAAGCGTCCTATGTTGCAGCAATAACCTTGCTGAGAAGATTATCGTTTTCGAGAATCAGGGTTCAAAACGGTGCAAACTGCCAACTGACGAAATTGAAGCACGGACAATTCAACCTGGACCTCTGGTTTTTCTTGATTCTTCTTGAAGGCGTGCCTTCCGAAGATCCATACGCACTACTTGAATTTACACGCTCTTATACTAAGATAGCCTACAAACCTGGGTTTGAATAAAGGCGAAAAGCAGACAAAAGCTGGGGCAAGAACATCCAGGATCCATGGAAAGCTGGCAGTGGGAGCAGCGGCTTCGGTGGACTGTTCTGGTTTTTTCCAGCTCTTTTGCGGAGGAATGCCGGCCCAAAAGCGGCAAGGCCGTCTGAAGCCAAAATACCTGAAACAAACCAAATAGATAATTGAAGCATGAAGTAGATGAATTAAACTGTTTTTTTAATAAACATCCTCCTAATACTTAACCCCCCCCCGTAATATCAAATATGGGTTCGCTAAAATTCCAAATTCCCCCGAAGTCTGCCTCCAAGACTATTTTCAAAAGGGCCAAGACTAATTGCGGCTCAGATCCTCTGAGTTAATGAGGCGTTTTAGCACGACTCGTACAGATTCGGGATCTCCTTGATTTCCTAGATTTTGCCTCAGGAGTTTATAATATAAACTCCTGATGCATAACATAGAGGAAATCCAGAAACAGATTCGCAGGCCCTAATTTGAAAGAGTCCTTTATGAGGCCCTAATTTGGATCAGTCCTTTTTAAAGCCCTCATTAAAAACAGCCCCTAATACGTCCCTAATTTGAAGGGACTAATTTGAAATAGCCCCTCATAAGCCCCTAATTTGAAATAGCCCCTAATAAGGCCCTAAATGGGAATAGCCCCTAACAGGGCCCTAATTGGAATAGCCGTTACAAAGGCCCTAATTTGAAATAGTCCCTAATAAGGCCCTAATTTGAAATGGCCCCTAATGAGGCCCTAAATGGGAATAGCCCCTAACAAGGCCCTAATTTGAAGTAACCCCTAATAAGGCTCTAATTTGGAATGGTCCCTTATAACCCCCTAATTTGAAATTGTCCCTACTAAGGCCTTGATTTGAAGTAACCCCTAATAAGGCCCTAATTTGAAATAATCCCATAATAGATTTAATTGGATTGTGTACCTTTAATCTTTCAATTATCCCCCTTATGTCCGGGTCGTACAATAAATACCCCCCCTAATATTAAATACGATTCCGAATATCTACATTAGGGGGGAGCCCTTTAATATTAGAGAGAAAGGATTAATCAAAGAAAGCAAAAAAACAAAAAATTAGATGAACACAGTTGAAAAAAGCTGGAAAGAAAGCTTGAAAGACGACATAGCCTGAAGGTAAAATCCGTCTGCCAAAGAAATCAAAAGAAAACTGACAACAAATCACTTTGCGCTCTGTGCCAACCGCCTGCCTCAAGGACCGCACCCTGCCCTTGTCCCTCAAGCCTGGCTACCCGCTACCGGGCTACCGGGTCCCTAGAGCACCCTGAGCAACTCAAATGTACCCAGCCTAAAATTTCAGCATGTGAAAGCGCCAGCCCTTGTTCTGCCTTTTGTTTCGAACACAGACATGTAGAATGCCAAAAAAATGAATGTTTCTGATCGCAGCGCGGGGCTTAAGCAATGCTTCTCAAAAGACCGATGTGCACCACTTGTGGGCTTGTGAGGCTCACAGTAGTAGCGGAGTTCGGTTGCGCAGGCTAGCTGTTCGTATGTCGGGATTGGACGACAAGGTGACGCTGGAAGCCTTCGATGGACACGGCCCGTCTGCTTACAGGACGTGGAAGGGAAGAGCACAATTGATGCTGGCAGCGCTTCCGAATACGATTCCTAAATAGAAGCTGGGTCAGCGATTAAAGCAGTACATCAAGGGCGAGGCTGAACGTGTCTGTAAAGCCATTGCGGTAGAGAAGTTGTGCGCAGAAGGGGGCGAAAAAGCGATCCTAGAGTTGCTGGACGAGAAGTATGGGCCCCAGCCCGCAGACTTGCTTTGCACTGCCTTGAAGGAATTCTTTTACGAGCTCAACGTGAAGGGGCTGTGTTGGATATGGACAGAGATGTATGTTTCTTTCGAAGCCTTGGGCAGACCGTTCCTTTAAGCGATACCAGCAGAGGGCATTATGCTATTCCTATGTTCAATGATGTGAAGGGGCCGCTTGAACTACAAAGTCAGCCTGAGGAGCTTGCAGCAGAGTGCTTGACAGTAGACGCGGAGGCAAAGGTCAGGGAGTATGACATTGACATGCTCGAGAGCAAACATGCTGACCATGGCGCAGCCTCTTCTCCTCAAGAAGGAGCACCTTGCAACCCGTGTAGCATCGCACTTCACAGCTGTCAGGATGTCGAACGTTCTTCCGGCCATGGCGCCAGCCGCCTTGGAGAAGTTCAACAGCGTGACTGCGGAGGACATAATCGGGGGGCAACCATGTTGGACAAGCATCCCGATGCGGCCAGCGATGCCAAGAATTTCGAAGCCATGGTAGCACAGGCCATGGCTGTGAGAAAACACAATGGAAAGCTGGACCTGGCCACCATTTACGAGATTAACAAGAACGACATCGCTTGGTTGCGCACGGACACCAAAGCGGAGACGATGTCGGAGGGTCTGTTGAGGCCGCGCACCTACACAGCGCAGAGGGATGTCAACATGTACAGCCGGCTCGCGGGAGCCAAGGCCATGAACGAAACCGAGAAGTTGGTCGAGACAAGTGGACCAATAAGCGTCGGACCACCACTAGCCCAGATTGCCTCGCGGGGGATGTCATGGATCTCGAGAAGGCCTCAGCAAGCAGCCCATGGATCCGCGTCGGGGAGCAGATCCAGCAGATTGCTCGCTGGGAGAAGTTCACCGAGGCGATGTTGGAGAAGCAGCAGCGCAAGAAGAAGATCATCTGCAACAGGAGCCAACGAGACATGGACAAGGTGGCCATGTTGGTCGAAGCGGCGATGAGTGCACCGTAAAGCTCAACAGGAAAATGAGGAGAAGCTTGAGGAAGGCAAGGTCTCAGCGCAATCATCAACGTAAAGAGTGTGAGGCTGGAATCCTCCTGATAGCGAAACGCCTTTATTTCTCTAAGTCTGCCTCAGCAATGTCAAGGACAGAGCAGAAGGCAGCGGTATTTCAGAAGTGTTCTTCATGCCGAGGGTTGCGCCGATTGCAGAACAAAAGGGGCTGAAGGGAGGCAAAGCATTTGACATTGCCAATGGATGGAACTTTTTGTTGTCTGAGCATAGGAGCTTGTGCATCAGTCAAATCAGGCAACAGCAACCACGTGTCCCCACGATCAGTCCACCGTGTCGCATGCACAGCGCATGGCAACGCCTTCATGCCCACCGAAGGAGGCTTTCCACACGGGACACGATTGAGGCAAGAACCCTGCTTCTCTTTGGTATTCAGCTGTGTGAGTGTGAGTTGCAACGAATTGGGGACAGTTGGTTCTGAGGACCTAGCAGGATCCCTGAGTCCGAACATGCACTGATCAAGAGCCACGTCATGACACACGCTGTCTTTCCGCCAGCTACAGGCGCTTAGAGGGTGTTCGAAAATGAAATGAACATCAGGTGTTGGAGGGGCAGGTCAGGGTTGCTGGGGAGTGGGTTCCTAGGTCCAGAGTTGCACAGGTCTATCCCGGAGGATGTGTGGAAGCCATTGTCAGTTGTGTGAGGAAAGCTCTTCGGGAGAAGGATATGGTGATCAAAGAGGTGTTGTCCACCGAGTGTGACCAGGCAACCCGCCGATCCGTGCATCCAAGCGGGAGCAAGCGTCCGAGCGACCGTCCGAGCGAGCGCCCCAGCGAGCGTCCGAGACACGGCCTTGACCTTTAGAGCCGCCGAGCCGGAGTGTCCGAGACTGGGAGGAGGGAAACGGAGCCGGCGTACGGCGTAAGAAAGTTTAAGGAAATGGAGAATGTCGCGAGAAGCGTCTGGGAATGGAAAGTTCAAGGAAATGTGGGAGGACCGCGCGACCGAAAGTTTGAAGGAAACGGCGGAGGCGACGGCGTCCGAAGGGTGGACTGACCGAAAGACGGACAAAGAAAGAGCCTTAGTGGCGAAAGCGTTAGGATTTGTCATGTCAACCTTGGTCATCCTTCAACAGAACGGTTCCTTCAGACGCTTCGGTCTGCAAGTGCAAGTGAGGCTGCCATTCGTGTGGCCAAGGGTCTGAAGCGCAGCGTGTGTGATGCGAAACGGGGTCCCCAAGCCACGCTGTTGCTAGATCTCGTAGAGCGGAGAGCTTTAATGAGCAAGTGAACATGGACACGTTTGAGCTGGTCATTTATCAAAAGAAAAAGCTTCAAAAAGATGCTGAATCTGTTTGATGAAGGGACAGGCATGCAAGTGTGTGCGCCATTGCGGAGGGGCAAAACCCTCGCCGATGTCCGGAAGGCCTATTGAAAGGGTTGGAAGAGATGGGCCGGGTGTCCTGGACGGGTTCTCACGGATAATGGCGCTGAGTTTGGTGGGGCCACGCAGGAGGGTTTGGAGATGGAAGGCACTTATGTGGATAAAACTGCCGCATACGCCCCGTGGCAGAACGGGATTGCTGAAAGACACGTGGGCGCCTGGAAAAGAATGTTCAGAAGGCCTTTGAGGAGACCCAGCCCCAAAACAAGAAGGAAATTAACGAGCTTAGTGATCAGGTCAAGAACTCCAAGAATTCCATATGTAGGAAGCATGGCTATATCAACATGTGTTTGGATGTGACTAGCGTTTGCCTGGCAGCGTTGATGACATTCTTGGAGTTGCGCAGAAAAGTGCTGTGGGTCATGGCATTGGGTCAGTGGTTCGAGCCCATGAGATCCGGCAAGCAGCACGCGCAGCACATGTGGCCATCGATGAAGATGAGAAAGTCCGCAAAGCACTGGAGCACCGAAGCTGTCCCCAAAGGGGACCCT